ATGCAGAAAGACCTTGCGTCATTTTTGCAAGTAGGTGCGTGTTTCCAAGTTCAGTTCGGATTGCAGTTTTTGTTCGGATTAAAGAAGCATCGACTGTGTTCGGATTACTGGATGTTCGGATAATCGTGAATTCGGATTATAGAGGTTGAAATGAAAATGCGATTTCAAAATTTTGAAATTGGTCAAAATAAAATACCTCGGGTGTCAGGATCCGCGCCTGGCTAATCTACTTAAAAAGAGTTTTTCTGGTAAAAACACAGGGTAGTATTGTCTCGGCCATCCCTGACACGTGACACGTACCATGGTTTGCATTTGCTAAGTTTTATGAAGGGTCGGCTGTAAAGTACTTTAAACGTCAAAGCCATAAACGCACAATATGTTTACGTCCAGTTTACTTAGTAGAAGTTTGGGTTTAGCGAACACGGTCAACGTATTTTGGAACGGTGTTGCAACCAATCGCGATCGCTTTACCGGAGCCCTACCGACCGCCTGCACTAGACTCCGCCTCGTGCATCTCGTTCGTCACGAGATCTTGTAACCACTCTACCTGGTTTCACAGCTTTAATATTTTACCGCATTTCTTGAAAAATAAATTAACAAAAGGCTCGTAAAATCATAAATTCTTTGTCGGTTCGAGTAAAGAGGGTCCATTTTCCTAGCAGGTGCAACTCTGTAGTGGACAGGGGTTTGAGAGCTTTGTCTGATCGACAGACATTTAACATCTATCGGCGAGCAAAATTTTCCAAAATATCCTCTCAAATCGACAAGCCGTTGAAAGTAACCCTTTCAAATTCTCGCCAAGTCACGCTCAAGTGGACACGTACCTTTAAAGGAATAAATTTGAGAAGGATAGAAATATTTAGCTAGAAATTTAAAGTCCACCGAGGCGTCCTTGAGAACGGATGAACTCGCCCTTGCTGTCAACACCGACTCTCTAATCGTATACCTATCATAAAAAAGTCCACTGCACAGTGGCGTAACTACCGGTGTTCCATGTGTTCGCCGGAACACGGGCCCGCTTCTTCAAGGGGCCCGGTCCGGTCACAAGAACATTTTTTTTTATTGGATTTTTTGTATTATTGCGATCATCCCAGGATCGATCGTTCATTGCTATTTACGATTTTTTTGCTGCAAAGGGCTGGCCCTCTGGCAGCATCTCAATATCATAGACTCAATAAACTCAGGTTTTAGCGAGCGACATCGGCGGCTAGAAATGCATCAGCATCTGTTTCTAATAAACCTGTCGCACTGTCGCAATGCCATTGTGTCAAATCTAAAACACTCCATTTAGTAAATTACCAATCTTTAGCCGACAAAAATATGACTAATTTATGATTCAGGACAACAAAACACTTAAATTTTGTCCTTAGATCGTCAGTGAAACTTTATACTGTAAGACGTGAAAAAAAAATCAGTTTCAGTTGCGTTTTAGGAAAACTTTCGTATTTCCAAAAATGTTTTAATTCTGTGTTTGTGGTGCTTTTTTGGTATAATAAAATATATCTGATGTATGTTACAACTAATTTTTAATTCCCGAGCGTAAGCTAAGGAAGTATAGTAATCGAGTTCATCGGCTGAATTGCCACCTTCATATTTTCTCGACGTGTCATTACCTCTAGACTTCGAAAACAGTAGTCTCCCGTTTCCGCCTGTCTATCTGTCTGTCTGGTGTCTGTATCAATTTTTGTTAAACAAGTAATCTCCGAAACTACTGCACCGATTGTTATCAAATTTTGTATGTATATTAGGAATACCACCAATGGGATAATGTCATCTCCAAAATTTATAATAAAAAGTTTTTTGAAATTTTTTCCTGCACCGTGTCGAATTTTTACCCCAGACATTAAGAATTTTTAGAAAAAATTTAAACATGAATAACAATATTTTGTAATATAACTTTGAAACTGCAAAACCGAATGCTCTGAAATCTAGTAAATATTTTAAGGATAACCATGGTAAATCGTTAAGCAAAATTTTTTCGTTTACCCACTCCCAAAAAATTGATGACATCATCTCAAAATTTTGTCGAGTAAATCCCATTCACAATGTGCAAAATATGATGAGTCTATACCTGTGATTTATCATTGCATTAAAAGTTTTTAAATTTTTTATACAGGGGAAAAATTAATGAAAGAGTCAATTTATTTTATTGATTAAATCAGGAACAGCTTACTCTGTTTTCCTAAAAATTTCGAAGTACAATACTGTTATCATTAGTATTACACTACACCTACCCAAAGTGATATCTATTTCTTTGCAAAAATGTTGATGACCTCATCACAGGGCGAAGGAAGTTCTGTCGAAATAACTTTCGACCAATTTTTTAAGTAGAAAAAACACTGGACCGGAAATTTATTACAGAATGAATACCTAGTACCTGCACTAGTTTCAGTGAAATTATCACAGATGTTTCATTTTTCTTTCGATGGCTTCAGCGGAAATATCTTTTTCGAAATTAAAAATGGCTAAATTTTTTTTAAGAAACACAGTGGGCCAATGCAAATTATCTTTACTGGCTATTATCTCAATTGAAAATCAAATTGCTAGAAGCTTAGATGTGTCAAATCTTGTATCAACTTGTGCCCATTGGAAAGCAAGAAAAAACAATTTTGAGATAAAAAAAATGGGCAATTTAATTTCTAATATATATTTTAATTATATGTATTTAGGTAGTTATTGTATTTTGTTTTTTTAATTCAGTGTTTCAGGTAGAATGATTTTAATAAAATCCCTAATTGCAATATACCTACTCATACTTTACTCATTATACGTATGTGCTCGTATTGTTAAATAATTTTTATTTCGCTGTTCATTAGGAGCCCCACAGTGTCGTAGAACACAGACCCGTATTTTGATTGCTACGCCACTGCAGTAGACCAACAGCCTGTCAAAGTTAAGACACGTTTTTTGTTGCAGGCCTGTGTAATAATTGAAAACTAGATGAAATACTTTTTATTAAATGCAAAATACTTAGATACACTGATTTATTTTATATACAATTAATTTTATTATTAATAATTACAAATTTTGCGATACGAGTTTGACGAATTCGTAGTAGTATAGTAGTAAGATACCGTTTTTAAGTTGTTGCAATTCATCTTCCGGTTCATTCATGAACTACCTGAAGCGGGTGGTTGGTGTCGAGTTGGCCTAGCGTCAAAGGGTAGTTTTTAAAATTACCTGAAATTGCTGGTGCCGAATTGGCGTGTTTATTTTATGACGGATTAGGCTCGGTGCCAAGTTCACCTGTGCCCGTGTGATCAAAGCCTCTAGGAGGATAACCATTATATCGTATCCAGCCTGGACCTTATAAGCGAGCAGAAGAGAAGGATTAAAACCGATATATCTGAGAAATCTTTACAATTTCTAAAAATGAAAACATGATTTAACTAAGATACCTGAGATATGATCCACGAAGTAAAATTTCTGGTCAAATAAGATACCAAGGTCTCTGAATGAATCAACACAATTTACCGGTACCCCATTCAAGACATAATTATGCTGATACAATTCTTTTTACCTTGTGAAAGACATAACGTTACATTTGGATATATTAAGTGTTAAACGATTTTTCTTTCACCATTCCAATAATTGATCTAAAACATTTTGCAAAGCTAAACAATCATCAACTGATTTTATTTCAAAGAAGAGTTTCATGTCATCAGCATATAATAACTTTTCACAATGAATTTTGTCAACTATGTCATTAATAAATAAAAGGAACAAAATCGGACCTAGGTTAGACCCTTGGGGCACACCGGAAGTAGAAGAGAAATTTGAAGAGTGAAAATTGCAGTGTTTAACAAATTGTACTCTGTTAAATAAATAAGATTCCAGAAGTGACAACAAAGACTGAGTGAAACCATAATGATGTAATTGGTTTAAGAGAATGTAGTGGTCGATTTGGTCAAAAACTTTTTGAAAATCGGTATATCTAACGTCCACTTGGCTTTTTCGATCTAGTGCTTCCGACACAAATTAATTGAAGTAGGCTAAATTTGTGATGGTAGATCGCTTTTCCACAAAACTATGTTGTTCAAGGGATATTAAACTTTTAACTTGGAAATAAATACGCTTATGTATTATGGATTTTGGAAAAAAGGTTTAACAAAAGCATGAGCACAATCCTTCAAAATGAAACTTGGGATACCATCAAGGGCGGCTGTGAATGAGTTTTTGGATCGTCTTAAAACATGCAAGATTTCATCGTCAGTTAAAAGTGTAAGGGAAATTAGAATACTAGAGAGACTGGTAGTTACCGATTGCACCTTACTGGGACGGCACAAGACATTTGTAGAGCTAAAAAAGTTGTTGAAAGTATTGACAATTTCATATGGAGTAGACAAATTGGTATCATTGTAACTCATATCTCCAGGAATTCTACTATGTCCTTTTTCATTACGAATAAATGTCCTAAGTTTCTTAGGATCTGCAGATATAGAGTTTTGCGCTGCATTTAGGTATTGTCCATAGGCCGATTTGATTTGACTTTTACAGTGATCTAAAATGTTTGAACTTGTTAAGAGAATCGTCTGTTTTAAAACGTTTGAATTTTTTGTAGTATAGTAGGATTTTAAGTTTAAATTAATATTTATTATCCACCAAGGAGGATATCTGCGACTATAGTGTTAGCATTGGCTGCAAATTTTGGAATAGCAGCATCGAAAATGTCATTCAAAGTATTAAAAAAAGAGCATGCATTATTGACATCCTTAAAGTTATCTAGGGGAGACCAGGCTTGAGAAGAAAGTAGCTGGTACAGTAAGGGATAGTTGTTTTTTTTTAATTACGTTCCAATCTGTCAAAGCACAAGTAAAATTGCCTATAAAGTGTCTATACCCTATATAAAACATACTGCATTTTAACCGAAAACGCATCAGTCGCGTATGAGATGTAGGATCACTGATGTAGGTATGTATAACACACATTTCACTCGACTGCATTCCAGGTTGCCGAACACTATCCTAGACAAATGTCATTTCTCCAAACATGCCTCAAGCACGTTATGCACGTTGTGAACCGTTTTTTGATGATGGTAATCGTGATATCACCAATCATCCACGTACTCTATTATCATTGACCTTCAATGTTGCGCTCAATGTGACTTTCCATAACCACTAAAGATAGAGGATAGAGGGGCAACAACGCGATTCCTTTGATTTGCTTACTTTTAACAATTAACGAAACTCTAAAACGTTTTTAGTTTGCATTCAGCTGTCGAACCCGCGACGCGTGTGCACAAGTGCATTCCACATTATTATTCCATTTTTTTTTAGCTTGTAGTGATAATTACTGCAGTCGAGATGGCCCAAGGGTAATATATTTTTTCAAATTTTGTAATGGCAACTTTTCTGCTTTTTGAAAATAGGTTAATATTTTGATTGTTTCTCATTGGTCCTTTTTTTGCTACATCATTATCGGGGAGGGGTGCTGCTGTAGCGATAAGATCACCTGAGGGAAAATTATGAAAATTGAAGTGTATTTTTACGATATTGCAACTTCTAAACATTCACTATGTATAACTTAATTGCATGGTGATTAACGTTTCCCGGATTCCCGGCATTTTGATTCACAATTTTAAAATTATGTCAGCACTGTCATTAACCTACGCATTTTTAAAATGTTACCTCCATGGAAACAAATAAAAAAGAATATAAAGGTGAAAAAGTAAAAGTGGGGCATTTGCTAAATTATTACACTAATCTGAAGGTTGAATCAAATAAATGTAGGCTATTACCAAACCACCTTAGAAATGTAATTTAATTGTTACTAAGATGAATGTTTCCAATTTTACAGGAAAGGAGACATTGGTTTAATCGGTTTGGCCGTAATGGGTCAAAACCTGATCCTAAACATGGCAGACCATGGCTTCACTGTAGTAGCCTTCAATCGATCAATTGAAAAAGTTCATGCATTTTTGGCTAATGAAGCAAAAGGAAAAAGCATTCTCGGCGCTGAATCAATCCCAGATCTTATATCAAAACTAAAAACTCCCAGACGAGTTATGTTGCTAGTAAAAGCTGGAGCTGCTGTAGATAGTTTCATTGATCAGTTGGTTCCTCATCTTGAAAAAGAAGATATTATTATTGATGGCGGAAACTCTGAATATACTGACTCACAAAGGCGACACAAAGAATTGCAAGCCAAGGGTCTTAGGTTTGTTGGAGCAGGCGTCTCAGGAGGTGAAGATGGTGCCAGATATGGACCAAGTTTGATGCCAGGAGGAAACAAAGAAGCGTGGCCTTATATTAAAGATATTTTCCAAAGTACTGCCGCAAAAACCGATGGGCAGCCTTGCTGTGATTGGGTTGGTAGTGATGGTGCTGGCCATTTTGTCAAGATGGTTCACAATGGTATTGAGTATGGAGATATGCAACTCATTGGAGAAATTTATCATCTGATGCAAGCCATCGGAATTGACCAGGCGACGATGGCTGATACTTTTGCTGAATGGAATAAAGGAGAATTGGACAGTTTTCTCATTGATATTACCAAAGATATCTTGAGATACAAAGATGCTGACGGTTAGTAAGAATTTTAAGTGGAAGCAATTTTTAAATTTAAGAATATAAAAATGACAAAGCTTTGAGAGGCATGTGAGAGATAAGTTAAAACAGTGCTTGCTGAAACATGAGATATTAAAAAAAAAATCATTATCACTGAAATATATTTTCAATGCTTTTTTTATTTATTTATACATATTGACATTACTTGAGTTATTAGGCGAGGTGAAAGTAAAAGAAAATAGTACTACACTCATTTTTGTTGAAAAACAAATAACGTCTATATTTTTATTCCAATGACGTATTAACTTCTTAAAAATCAAGTAACAGAGTTGTTTTTAAATAATCATAGTATCCAAGTAGGCAATGGGATATACTATGTTATTGACAACAAAAATTGTGACATTGTGACCAAAGCGACATGTATCATCACGTAATCGAGAAAAAAATATATCAACTTTTGAAAGGTAATAAAATATAATATGTGAGTTGGCAATCAGTATTTGTGTTAACCGGTTTGATATTTACGGTCAAGTAACTCAATTAAAGGGTCAAATAACAAATGTCAACGTTATTTTAAAAGTAAATTTCATGGTTTACTAGACAACTTTTTTTCGGTCATATCAATAAACTGATCTTATTAGTTTATGACTAATCGTAGGGGATAACAAAAATACCAGACGCCAAATTTAAACTGAATTAGTCATTTATAATGTCTAGCGATAATTTGAACCAAGGTTTGGTTTAGATTTAGACTGATATTTATGGGATTTCGACCGAGTTGACTATTCAACAAACTTTAAAACAACATTTATCCTCACACAAAAAAGTGTTTCCTTCGAGTGTTGGATCCGTAATGTAGGTATATAAATTTTTAGCAGCAAGTTTGAAAATATCCAAGCTATTGATTGCTTTTTAAGCCCAAGTTGTATTACCAGCTTTGATTTTTGTATAGTGGGAAAGAACAAAAAAAAAATACATTTCAGTGAAATATTAAGAATACTGTTTAATGTCGAAAGACATTTTAAAAATAAATGCAAAACATTTTTAATTTAATCACCGTGTGTAATAGATCGAAGCATTTGTAACTTTTTTCATAAATGCATGTGTTAGAAAGTGTAACATTCAAACTTTTTATTTGTTTTTTACTTTACCTAGTTACAAAAAATTGCTATTGAAATATAAGTTATTCAATTTTTTAACTAAATGCAGCTAATAAATAAGTTTAATTGAATTACCACCTGTGTGGTAATAAGATTATGCACTAGGGAATTCACAAAATAATGCTAGCCATTTAGGGATGCCATAATATTAATAATAAAACTTTGGATTTGAGTGGGGAAAGACGACTTTTTTTTAATAGGACATGTGATGGAAATTGATTAATATCTTGATATCAAACACCTTTATATACGTTCTCTTGATCAACGTACATAATATAGCTTCGTTTTGATTTAATTTGACACCTTTTAAGTATAAATTCATGTTTTTAAGAATACAAAACTAAGGAATATAAATTATTTATTAAATATACCATCCCGTATGAGTAATGAAAATGTTTAGTAAAAATGAGAACTGAAATAAGCCGGCGGTCTTATAAACTTAAATTAATTGTATAAAGAACAAAAAAATGCGCATATAATTAGCTGAAATCATGATAAACTGTTTTTAATCATTAGATAATGCGATAAGAAATATTCTTGACATACCATAGTTTAATGATTCAGCACTATTAAGTTTTTATGTACACTTGATTTTGTTTGATTGTTTGACCTCCTGTATGATTCGTTAACTAAATTTAGAAGTGCCAGTAGACGCGACTGAAATACATTTTTCCATAAGAGATCTAAAAACATCATAAATAACCATGGCTTTGTTACAGGTAAAGGTAATTGGGCATTTATAGAAAATCGAATGGAGGACATGGTATACGGTGCGAAGTTATGTCTCTATCTCTTATATTTTGTTACTTTTTGACACGATCTACACTAGTTAAATTATTATTAATTTTTAAAGCGACTGCAAAATCAGTATATTTTTTGTCACCATGGTGGGACTTGTTACCACACTAAGAACACAGAGATTCTGTGGTCATCCTTCCTTTGTTTCTCTTATTGGGACTTTGTAGCACCTTAACAAAAAATGTGTATAGTAACCTTGGAAGTAAACATGATGAGTCATTTTTTAACTTGTAGTATTAATTGTACAATAGACACAGCATAAATATTGACCTCCAAGAATATCTTTTGGCGTTCTTGTTAAAATTTCGAATTTAAAAAACACCAAATAATAAAATCAATACACGGAGGCGAAAAAAAAGTTTGGAATCAATTAATTTTATTTTAACGTCATCAAAGAGTATATTTTTCCGGTTTCGGTGATTCGTGGATTATCTTATCAAAACTGCAGAAAAATATGTAAATATTTTTTTTGTCCATGTTATCGACTGTGTCGTTTGTTGCTCACGACACAAATGCGCTGTGCGCACAATATGAGAAAATCTGTAAAATGTTGAAACCACTTGAAAATTAAGTTTTAAAACGAACTAAAATTGGAAACATTTTTGGAAATGACCTTTTTGGCATTTCTGGAGAAACGTACCCCTACGAAACTGGATGATTTATAGAGTAACATGTATGAATAATAACTAGTTTAATTAATAAACAACCGGTTATATTCATTTGTACGTTGGTGAAGTTAGGTCAGGGTTACACCAAGGATTCTATCACTCGGGTACATAGAAACTATTACTTTTATCTCGTGTTTGTTAAAGGTACGCTATGTAAATGCGAATTCTACAAAATACAAAACGATTTCTGAATATTTGTTTGAACCAAATGAGTGTTGATGTTTAGAGGATTTTGAATTTACTACTGATAAACATAAACATCATTACAGTTTTTGTTATGCAAATAAATACTATACATAATAGATTGCATTGACATAAGATATGGAGAATTTAGCATGATTTTAAATAGTTTTCACTGACGTTATTACCTATTTGGTTACTTGGTGTATTTTATTGGACGTAACCTTTGCAAAGCAATAATTACCAGTTAATGTCTTCATTAACCTTGAAAAGCAGCAATTGTATGGAAATCTCTGAAAGCAACAAGATGTAAACCGAATATTGTTTTCCACCTCTGTAGAAGATAAACCGTAGGTGTGTTAACCTGGATTGTTGAACTCCTTAATAATTTTAATAATGCCAAAAATAAGTTGCCAAAGTTTGTGTTGTATCTCTTAATACCTGAAAAATAGATCCCTTGGACAGCTTTTTTTATATAATTTAGTTTGGATTTTAGATGTATAGTTGATAGATGTGAGAACTAAGATTTTTTTTAATGTTATACCAAAATAAATGAAAAATTGATAACATGGAATGTATCTTTGGTCATTTTTTTCAACCATTCTTAAGATGAAATACGTTATGTACCAAAACTATATTTTAAAACAATGTCGTCATCTTAAGCCTATCTTGCATTTTAGGACATGTTTATCAGTAAAGATTCTGTCATTATAGTTTGGTGGAGATAAATCGTTATAGTTTGGTAGCCATTATGTAATGTAGTTCCTGCGTGAGTCATTAAAAAAATTAAAAAATATTACTAAGTACAAACAATATGTATAGTCTCTTGTTTACACATTCTTCTCTCTTCAGGTCAATATCTTCTACCCAAAATCAGAGACACTGCAGGCCAAAAAGGAACCGGCAAATGGACAGCCATCGCCGCCTTGAATTATGGCATTCCAGTGACTTTAATTGGTGAAGCAGTTTTCAGCCGATGCTTATCCGCTCTTAAAACCGAACGACAAACCGCCAGCAAGATACTTCCTGGTCCCTCAGTACAGTTTTCAGGAGACAAAAAACAATTTTTGGAAGATCTCCGCCAGGTACCTCTTGTTTTAAAATAATTACTTATACAGTACAAATAACATCAACAGGCTCTCTACGCTAGCAAAATAGTATCATACGCACAAGGCTTCATGCTGTTACGTGAAGCCGCCCAAGTTCACAACTGGGATTTGGATTATGGTTCCATCGCTTTGATGTGGAGAGGTGGATGTATTATTAGGTCAGTGTTTTTGGGACAGATCAAGCAAGCATTTGATAAAGATCCTAATCTTCGATCACTACTTCTGGCACCGTTTTTCCTGAATGCGATTACAAAGTCGCAAACAAGCTGGAGGAATGTTGTGTCTACAGCAATTACTTTAGGTACGTTCAGATTTTCTTTTGCAGTAATTGTTCATACGTAACATTCTTGTAGGTATCCCAACCCCCGCTTTAAGCACGGCTTTGGCGTTTTATGATGGATATCGTTCAGAACGTCTTCCAGCCAATCTTCTGCAAGCCCAGCGAGATTACTTTGGGGCACATACCTACGAGGTGCTTGGTAAAGAAGGTGCATTTGTCCACACCAACTGGACCGGTCATGGTGGCAACGTTTCAGCTTCATCATACAATGCTTAAAAGATTTTATCATATAAATTATTTATATGTCTATTTTTTCAATGCTTCTAGGTTGTTTGTAGATTAAGTCATTCAATACAGTATTGTTTTAAGAACTGTGTTTATTATGGCCATATAAAAGTATAACATTGTTAAAAATATATAACAACTAAGTAAATAAGCCCACACAAAACAGACAATCGCAGTAAAACCCTCAACAACGAAAAAATTGAGCTTACATATTGCTTATAAAACTAAGTAATTTTATTACCTTGGTACCGGATTAAAAGCAACTGAACGGTGCAACTAATTAAGTATAGTACGAACTTCGTTTATGTTTAAAAAAATATATTACCTTTAACATTGCTTTGGTAAACCGACATCGACTTGTAATTACGCCACGATCTTTCTGATCATATAATTCAATATACCTCCATGTTTGTAAAACAATAAATCCACTTCAGTATCAAATCTCAGCAAAACATCGAATGTTTTGCCAGTATTTGTCGAAATCTTAATATTTTGTCCTGGTTTCAATTCAGCTGGTATTTCTATATTATAAACTTCCTTCCCTGTTAAGCCGAGAGTTTCAGCAGTCTCATCAGCTAAGAATTGGAGAGGAATGATACCCATGCCAACCAAGTTTGAACGATGAATGCGCTCGAATGATTCGGCAATGACCGCTCTTACACCCTATAAAAAATAACAACAATAAGAAAAAAATCGCCACAAGATCATAGTTAATATTATATAAATATCAAAAGTGGGGTTTTGCACTCTGACACAACTCTGATAAGTGTTTAGTCAAACCGATTCTAAGGAAGTATTGTAATCGAGTCGATTGGGCGACTGGCTGCTTTCATTTTTTATTATTTTAGCAAGATAAGACCATTTTATATTACATCGTCAACATATTATTATTATTACAATCACTCCGGCTTTACCCGATCCATATTTAGTTTTACTTGTTTTTAACAACTTCATTTCAGAATAAAATATTTGAATTTTTTGGATCTTCCATGCTTTTCTAAAGTCCATTTCTTATTTTAATTAAAACTTAATTCTAGCTAAATTGATTAATATAAAATTCATTTTGATCAGAAATTTATTACAGGGTTTGAGTTCCCTTGCTGAAATCTGCTTCGAAAATTAAGTACGAATGTTGTTCACGTATATTTTCTAAACGAAGGCTTTTATGGCCCTAGTTAATAACCAGACAACCTTTTCTAGGTTCAGACCGTGGCAATTTGAAATTGTCAATTTGGAATTTTCCACAAATTTTTGAATTATCCCAAGTTTTGCTTTGTACATCTGTGTGAAACGGAAAATAAGTTAAATGTATTCAACTCATTAGGTAAAAATTACAAATATCGTTATATTGTGTTCACACGATTTTCGAAGAGCAACATGTAGAATTATCGTATGACAGCTCAAAAAAAATGTTTATGAGGTCGCTCCAAATTTTTAAAAAGTGCCCAAATCGTCAAAAATTTATTTTCTTTTTGTTTAATTTTGTTTTTCTCGTTACGGTAATATTTTATAGACGAAAAAAAAAGTTTCCCAAATTTTTAGTTCAAAATATTAATTTTTAAAAGTCGTTCATAATTTTTTATAATTTACAAGAGCATTGCCTTAGATGTTTTCGAGCGACTTTTTAATTTTTATATTAAACTTCAATGAATGCTTTACCTTTTAATTAGAAAGATAATCGATGAATATACACCACGAAATGGAAAAAAAATCAAACACAATGCTGGAAATATAGTTTGTTAATAACTCGATATTTAGCAAATTAAAATTATAGTATGATTGTTAATTGTTATTTTGAATTTTTAAGTTTTCTTTCAAGTCTTTATCATTTTTTATTGTAAATTATATCTCAATAAAAATAAAATTAATATAATAAGTACTTTAAATGAAAAATAAAGAAAATTAATCTTTAAGTAAGCTTTAAAATTGTATAAATTTATAATTAGTTTTCAGAATTCATAACAAAGTTTATTTAAATGTTGTTAAAATGTTGTAATTGTTTACATAAAAATGCTCTTGTAAATTAAAAAAAATTATGCGCGACCTTTAACAATTCATATTTTGAGCTAAAAATTTGGGACTTATTGTTTTTTTTTTGTCTATAAAATATTATCGTAACGAAAAAAAAAAACAAAATTAAACAAAAATAAAACCAATTTTTGACGATTTGGGAGCTTTTTAAAAATTTGGAGCGACCTCTTAAAAAAATTTTTTTTGATCTCTCCTTTGGAGAAGGGTCTTAAAACATGACAAACTAACATATTTTTACAGGCAGCTCAACACAAAAAAATAGTCGGATTTTTTGCGCTACCCTAATATACAACAATGTATATGTGTTTATACAGGGTGACCCAAATAAAACGAAACAGACGGGACCGTAGCCACTGTCCCTGATTAAGTTTATTTTTATTTTATTATTATATTATTTAAGATAAATTAAAGTCTATTTGATGAGCTAAAAGATTTCTTTGGTCGGACTAATAACTTCTAATGAAGTTAGCAGACAATCATCGTTTTGATACAATTTGATACGTACAACATACAACCAAAACGTAAATTCGAGAGAATCATCAATTAATCAGTAAGTTCATCTTATAAAAAATATAAGAATTAGTTGAGAAATTACTATTTTTTTTTTTTTACAAATCTACAAGAAACATTTTTGGATGTACAAATTTCATACCCAACGTTCACGCAACGCAATATCAACATTTGCTGTAGTTGTAGACAAATGAAAATTGGCCCCTTTTTACTTCCCAAGCGTAAGGAAAGGAAGTATTGTAATCAAGTCCGTCGGTCGACTCTCTACTTTTACGTTTTCTCGACCTTTCATGATCCCTAGAGGACGAAGACGATAGTTCTCCCGTTTCCGTCTGTCTATCTGCCGTCTCGGATTTTTATTGGACAGATAATCTCCGGAAGTACTCGGCCGATTGTTGTGAAATTTTGTATTGTGTTAGGAATATCATGTAGATGGTAAAACGCTACCCAAAATTTGTCTAGTCATCCCCACCAATATTGTGATGACGTCACTTCAAAATTGCACATAGTAAACTGGTTTTAAATTGTATGAAATAACATAGTCCTACACATATAGTTTATGACTCTGTAGATAAGCGAAGAAAAATGTTGCTCCTCCGGTGGGAATCGAACCGCACATTTACCGCTTGCCGGGTGGGTGCCCTAACCATTAGACTACTGAGGAGGCTTATCTTTCCTCGCTTACACTACGTATTATTGTGCCGCCACAACTCCGTATTGAGTTTTTACCCGAAACGTCCAGATTTTTGAAAAAAATTCAAAATTATGAAACAACATTTTGCAATTTAATTTGGCATCTGCTACACCGAATACTTTGAAATCTTGCAGATGGTTTATAGTTATGATAAGCATTATAAATTTTTAACCAAAATATATTTACTTATCCCTTCCAAAAAATTGATGACGTCAGCTCAAAAGTTTGCCGAATAAATCCTACCTAAAATGTACAAAATATGATGAGTCTGTACTTGTGATTTCATTCTTATTTTTGGGATTTGCATATACAGGGTGACTAAAAAATGAATGCGTGAATTTATTTTATTGATTTATTCAGGAACTACAAAACCGAATGCTTTGAAATCTTGGAGATGTTTTAAAGTTATCATAAGCATGGTAATTTTTTTATCAAAATGTATTTGCTCATCCCCCTAAAAAATTGATGACATCACCCCAAAATTTTGCTGAATAAATTCTATCTAAAATGTACAAAATATGATGAGTTTGTACTTGTGATTTATCATTTCATTCATATTTTTTAGATTTGCTTAAGAGGTGGCTCAAAAAAATTAATGACTGAGTCAATTAATTTTATTGATTAAATCAAGAATTGCAAAACTGAATACTTTGAAATTTTGCAAACGTTTTAAAGTCATTGTAAGCATGGTAAATTGTTAATCAAAATAAATATGTTTATTTTCCCCAAAAAATTGATACGTTATCTCAACACTTTGCCGAATAAATTCTACCCAAAATGTACAAAATATGATGAGTTTTTACCTGTGATTCATCCTCACATTCATATTTTTTATGGCAATAATTTTTTTTGGCAGCAATTAAAATTTTTATTCGCATAATATTTCAGCTAATAAAATGATCGATCAACGAGATATTTTTGCAACTGCAATTAAATTATTGGTAACATCAAACAATGGTTAGTAAAATTGGAGACTTTGATAAACTAATCAAGTATTGGAGCGGCAAGTAAATGCCTGCAGAAAGAATAATTGGTCAGCTAAAAGGATAATTGAGCAGCAAATTGGCTGACATAGGTGCAGATTTTATACATGAGTAGCAAAATAAATTATTTTTCATCTCAAAGTGTAAGCGATTTACTATAATATTATGTGATCAGCGTTCCTACGACTGTAACTAAAATGCTTTGTGAACGCAGTGGTACATACGATATATCCATGATTTGGGCAAGTTCTTTCCATATAACTTGTTTCCATGATTTGTTTTGTTTTCTTTGATTAACTATTGTTGTTTTGTTCCACCGCCTGCAGCTCTAAAACTGTACCAATCGGTGAAAAAATAAAAAGAGACAGACCCTCTAAGACTAAGCGAGCTCTTATTGTACAATAAGTTGTAAAGTAGTCCAAGAGCTATAAGGTAATATACAGGGTGTTATTGAAAGGTACGTACAACAAAATAGACAGTTCTTCGCGAAGTCTAAGAAGTCGAAAAAACTTATTTTGTGTTATCAAAATTATAACGGGAAAATTAACCCTTATCCAACCTTTTTGGACGCTACTGAAGGATAAATAGGTAAAATTAATTTATTTTAGTAAATCCTAGCAACGGTAACAATAAAACTTTTGTCAAGATTAAATGTTGCTACAGAAACGAAAGATGATCTTTTTATCAGAGGCGTACAACGAATTTGGACATAAACTTTAATAATTTTTATCTCTAAAAGGAGAACACTTTTACCTGAACTTTTTTTAACTTTTAGCACCTATACTTCGAGACCAATTGCCGATTTTATTTTGTACGTACCTTTCAATAACAGGCTGTATAGATCATCATAAAACTAGTTGACCGCAAATAAATACCCCCTTTGTGTGGTTCGCATTAAGCTTGCCGGTTGGCAATAAATCGTCTTCTAAAATTTTCTTGCTTAGATTTATAGTAGATATTTAGTGAAAGTCGCCCCTGAACGAAACAACAACAGTCGGTGCAGCTGCAGTGGACACGTTATTTACGACTCTAAAATTTTTCAATTATAAACAACTTAAGTTCGACACAATGGGATAATTTTATGATGGCCATATCACCTTATACGTCTTGGACTATTATATTAACTTTAATTTTTTTAAATAAGTATTAATTTTACATTAGCGTACTTTGTTACATTGTTATTTGTTATAAATATTATAGTTGGACAAAAATGCTAGTAGATCGATTTATTTGATATCCCGTATTACCAGCTGTTTTCTGTACCATTATTTTATTAATAGTTAAAATGATAAGATAGCTTGCTGTGTAAAAATTAGTTAAAGAGTGAACACAATTCGACATTGATTGAATTTTTTTATGCCAATGTACTCTTTCGGCTGGACACAAAAAATATTATTAGCCGATCAAGCGATCACAAACCCATAAATTGCTGCTCCAATTTCGCTGTTCAATTAGCCATTTTGCCGGCAACATCGGCTCATTGGCAGATCAATTAAACCTAATAGTGAACACAGTTTGATATTATTAGCTGATCACAAACTCATAAATTGCTGCTCCAAATTTGCTGCTCAATGAACCATTTTGCTGACAAAATCGCACTTTATTTGCAGATCAATTAAACCTCACCCATTTTTTATTGATCAAATTAAGAACGGTTCACCCCATTTTCCCGAAAATGTAAAAATGCAATTAATTGTTTTGATTCTCTGTTTTGAAGGGACGAACTCGTTCAAATCAAACTAATTTGTACGTGACATTCTTCCGATGTATAAACATAAACATTTTCAAGTTGTTTTTCTTATCGAGGATAATCTAAGGACGTACAGTAATGGAGTCCATTGGGCAATTTGGTACTCGTTTCTCGATATTTCATAACATAAGGCAGTAGCTAGGGGGAGGCTAGGGGATGCTCCCCTAAATATAAACCAGTTTAATTAACCAAATGTGAATTAAAGCATCCAAAAACGGAGGAGGTAAGTTGTCTCCCAAATGTACAAATTTCTAAAAACCATAGGTAAGTTGTCCCCCGACCCCAGGTAAATTGCCTCCCGCACACAGTACTACATTAGGGGTGGTTTAGTTGTTAAAAACACCTCCTACCCTTAATTTACCTGTTTTCAAATTATTGAGTTGCAATTTAGCAGCACTTTCATAGAAGTTTTGAATAATTTTCAAGTAAACTCATATATTAGACAAAGAAGTGTAAATCAAAGTAAAGTCATTTATGATAAGAAACATCTTCTTAGAAGAAAAAATTGAAAACTTAGCCAGACATGACATAACAATGTTGGAGTTTATAAAAATTGTTTCATATAAATATAAACCTAGAAAAATTTGAAATTATAATGTTTATTTTTTAAAATATAATTCAAATTGATGTAAATAAAACAAAATTTTTGACTTTTACATATGTACCTGTGTATCAACTGATATTTTTCTAAATAAGTGTACATATGTTTTTTTTTGTTGACTTAGATTGTAGATTAATCCATATGCTATGTACTTGCAAATTAATTGTAAATGTTATACAAAAAAGTATAATTTGGACATGCGCATAACTTATTTGTGGCGTGGATGTTGCATGTACTAATTCTTTTCAATAAAAACAGTTTTTTTTTTTGGTGAAGTACATTCTTGAATATTATTGCACATTCTCGACGGTGCCGCCCATTAGCCCTAATCCGTGTACCTGCGTAACCGGGAGAGAATTTACCTATACCCTTTTTGTCACTGGGAGACAACTTACCTACAGCCTCCAAAAAACCAAGTAAAATGTAGTGTTCTATTCAATAAACGGAAGTCAGAGCAATAAAAAAGTCTGGACCGTCGGTATTATCATCCGGTTATTGCAAATCGTAGAAACCATGTTTTAGTTTAGTTTGTATTTCACCGTCACGTCTATAGCTTGATAAGTGTTATGGCTATTTGTATTAATTTCCAAGTACTATACAGGTGTTCATTTTATCTGTTCACATCCTGACAATTTTAGCATAGGCAACATATTATACACCCCAGAGACGATTTCGTCCAATTTATTTTTTTTTAATAAGCAATCATAGCAATCACAGAAAAAAAAAATGACAAAGATGTGAAAGCCAAATAATGACAAAATTGAAGCAATTAATACTAAAACATAATAGGCATGCAGTCGTCACGTTTTCGACAGCGAGGGAAGTATTGTCTAAACTCTTTAGACTAATTTTTTATAGACTGGAAGTGATTCTTTGATTTAGCGGTCATGTATTCGAATGATTAAAATCCGCCGTATCTGATCTAAAAACATGGCGGTTAGCCTCGTTATGTTGTTCTGTGCAGTATTATTTAGATATTTTCCCGATTAGATGAGTTGTAAACTTGCACTTCTGTTTGTTATCGAATTTATTCCTGACTGTACGGACATATGCATTATACAAATAGAAAAAATATTATTGACGCATTTTGTTGATATGTACTTTCAAACTTTAACTACTGAACTGTTATTAAAACTAAACTAGTACGTAGTTGATAAACATTTAGCGGTTGATAAAATTGCAATTTATGTATCTGACGACTTTTTGTCAAAAATAATGGCAAATTGTTTCTTAACTGGTTTATAATTGAATCTGTTTTAAAAGACACCATTTTTGGAATTCGAATTTATTTGAAGCAAAGAGCATTTAACTGGAACCGTAATTGACACAAATTGTACAGAAAGAAGGTGGCTCCATTTCAATTTGAATTGTTGTAGTTAAAAAACCTAGCGCATTGAAGATGAACGCTAAATAAATATTGTTTGGAAACTTGCAAGATTTATCAGTCTTGTTATAAAATAAATATTAAAAAGTAATTACCAAATCATTACTCAAAATGTTCGTTTATCTATAACATTCTTTTACGCTAATGTGATTTTGAACGCCAGTAAACAAAATTTAATTTGATTAAGTAGAATTCTATTTGTATTCGCTGATTGAGCATTACTTTAACATAATTTAGTCGTTTGTTACTGTACAACTTCCTTAGTTTGTTGAACGATTTCTTATTCTTTCTATTTAGTAATGTAACATAATTTCTTTCATTTAAAAAGGCATTTATTAGCCGTGTGCTTCATGATAGAACAGATTTTAAAAATATTCTTTTCATACAACAATACAATTATTAGAAACAGGTTGACTAATTTAGCGTAAATGCAAATGCAATAACTAGAGCCATGCGATTGAAATTTAAACGCTGCGAATTGACCCCCACTCCGGCAGGCCAGAGGCTTGCAACCGACGTTATGAATCGCAAAGAAAATTACGCGAAAAATAATGTTAACGGGATGTCAGTTGATGATTTTAAAATCCATATTCACGAAATAAGAGTAATAATAATTTTAATAATGTTCAGGTGTCCGTCTCGTTGACAATAAAACTATTTGTGTGAATTATCAAAAATAATCCACAACTGAAAAGCGAGAAGCAAGCAAGGCAAGGCTGTAGCGATCGGCACTGTGGGCCGATAGTGGGGGTAAATAAATTTGGACCGCACAGCTCTAGTAATAACTTACGACCAGTACAGGTGGCCAATTTTCCCTAAAATACAAAGTACCAACCCACGACATCAGTGATCCTATACCTACCAGAGATAACTTCTTGTCTCTGTACCTACTGAAAAATTGTAAGCAACAACAAAAACGCATGACCGGTGTCGGTTACCTACAGGAACCTAATATTGTCTATTTTTCACAAGCTGTGTTGTAATGTTGTAAATCAACTGTTTCGCAGAACTTACCAACAAATATGGGCCCTTAGCCGCCCAGTCTCTACTTGAACCGGAGCCATAGTCTTTCCCGGCGATAATAATGAGGGGTGTCTGGGAAGACTTGTAGCGTTCAGCACAGTCAAATACGTCCATCTGAAATGCATTAAAATACGATGAACTAAGGATGAATCAACAAACACAATAATGACAAACATTATTTGAACAAAATTTAAAAGTACGCCGCTTTACAACTAATTTAGCAATTTCATAACGAAGGCACATAAACGTATTTCTGTATACTACTGAGTTTTAATTTTTGTAGTTTTAACTCCTTTCTTGTCGTATTTTAGAATGCGTACACGACGCCCCGGAATAGGATCTCGAGTTGGAGCTACCATCTCGGTGTCCTCGACACCAACCCAACAACACAAGAGAGAAATAGTTATTGTCTTTGCCATTTCTATTGAAACACCACCTGTTGATTTTGCTTAAAATTTAGCAGTCCGTCTGTCCGTCTGTTGTCCCGGATTTTTATTAGACAGATAATCTCCGAAAGTACTCGACCGATTGTTGTGAAATTTTGTACTTATATTAAGAATATCATGTAGATGGTAAAACGCTAACCAAAATTTGTCTAATCATCCCCACCACTAATGCGATGACGTCACTTCAAAATTGTACATAGTAAATGGGTTTTCAATTGTATAAAATAACATAGTCCTACACATGTAGTTTACAACTCTGAATCGACTTTTCACCCGAAACGTCCAGATTTTTGGAAAAAAAATCAAAATTATAAAACAACATTTTGAAATTTAATTTTTAATCTGCAAACCAGAATGCTTTGAAATGTTGCAGATGTTTTAAGGCTATAAAGAGCATCATAAATCTTTAGTCAAAAAATATTTGCTTATCCCCTCCAAAAACTTGATGACGTCAGCTCAAAAGTTTGTGGAATAAATCATATCTAAAATGTACAAAATATGATGAGTCTGTACTTGTGATCTATCACTCCATTCATATTTTTTGGATTTGCATATACAGGGTGACTCAAAAAAATTAATGAATGCGTAAATATATTTTATTGATTTAATCAGGAACTACAAAACCGAATGCTCTGAAATCTTGCAGATGTTTTAAGGTCATAAAGAGCATAATAAATGTTTAGTCAAAATATATTTGCTTATCCCCTCCAAAAACTTGATGACGTCAGCTCGAAAGTTTGCCGAATAAATCATATCTAAAATGTACAAAATATGATGAGCCTGTACTTGTCATTTATCACTCCATTCATATTTTTTGGATTTGCATATACAGAGTGACTCAAAAAAATTAATGAATGCGTAAATATATTTCATTGATTTAATCAGGAACTTCAAAACGGAATGCTCTGACATCTTGCAGATGTTTTAAGGTCATAAAGAGCATAATAAATGTTTAGTCAAAATATATTTGCTTATCCCCTCCAAAAACTTGATGACGTCAGCTCGAAAATTTGCCGAATAAATCATATCTAAAATGTACAAAATATGATCAGTCTGTACTTGTGATCTATTACTCCATTCATATTTTTTGGATTTGCATATACAGGGTGATTCAAGAAAATAAATGAAAGCGTAAATTTATTTTACTGATTTACTCAGGAACTACAAAACCGAATGCTTCGAAATCTTGAAGATATTTTAAAATTATCATAAGCATGGTAAATTTTTGATCAAAACGTATTTGGTCGTCCCCCCTAAAAAATTTATGACGTCACCACAAAATTTTGCTGAATAAATCCTATCTAAAATGTACAAAATATGGTGAGTCTCTTCTTGTGATTTATCATTCCATTCAAATTTTTTCGATTTGCATATGCAGGGTGACTCAAAAAAATTAATGAATGTGTAAATTTATTTTATTGATTTAATCAGGAACTACAAAACCGAATGCTTTGAAATCTTGCAGATGTTTTAAGGTTATAAAGAGCATAATAAATTTTTAGTCAAAATATTTTTGGTTATCTTCTACAAAAAACTGATGACGTCAGCTCAAAAGTTTGCCGAATAAATCGTATCTAAAATGTACAAAATATGATGAGTCTGTACTTGTGATTTATCATTCCATTCATATTTTTGGATTTGCTTTTCAGTTGCCTCTGATACGTATTACGTGAGTAAATTGTTTCGTTATTTTATTGATTATTACAAATCAATATTCAAAACGACCCAATTCATTTTCCCGAAAATTTGAGAATATACTAATTTTATTCTTAGTATTACACTACATCTATCCCAACTGATATACGTGTCCTTGCAAAAATGTTGATGACGTCATCGCAATTTTTTTTTAAATTCCCACTACAAAAATGTAATGAGAAAAAAAACACAATAGGCATGCAGTCGTCAAGTTTCCGACAGCGAGGGAAGTACTGTCTAAACTCTTTAGACCAATTTTTTTCGTTTATTATTCATACACAGGAAAATGTATCAAATCAACAATTAAATTATTGAAAAAAAATAGTAAGCACTGAAGAACATCGAAGCCGTTATTGTTTTGTAATTTTGTTAGCTATCTTAAATATTAAGCGTTTTAAAAACTAAATTCGCATTGCTGGGTACGGCCAGTGAGTATAGAGTTACATAGTCACTGGTACGGCGAAGGAGAATCTCGCCGGACCTGGGGCAACATACATTCCGCTCGTAAACAGTGTAGTAGACAAAGAGAACAATGAAACCGTAAGCTGCTACGAAGTCGAAACATGGAGCATTGAGCATTCCTGGATGCGGCGTGCCGAAATCTCGCCGGCAAAGCGTGTTTATCAGCATTTAAAATTAGCAACAAATGCTTTATTTTGTACCTATAATATAATAAAATATATTTTTTAATATATATATGTTCTATACTAAAGGTACATTCAAACTTTATTTCTTTTTTTATTTTCTAATTTCAACGCTTACTAAGTATTTTAAAATGACTGATACCCTGCCGCCCCTGACCAGCCGCCCCTGTAATTTAACTTTGAAATTGCAAAAATCGAAAACTGTGAAATCTTACAAATATTTTAAGGTTACTGGAAGCATGGTAAATCGTTAATCAAAATTTGCCCGCCACCTTAAATTTTGCCAAATAAAGGTTCCTCAAATTCATAAGTGTTTTTGAGGAAAAAAAAATTGGTCTAAAGAGTTTAGACACTACTTCCCTCGCTGTCGGAAACTTGACGACTGCATGCCTATTGTGTTTTTTTTCTCATTACATTTTTGTAGTGGGAATTTAAAAAAAAATTGCGATGACGTCATCAACATTTTTGCAAGGACACGTATATCAGTTGGGATAGATGTAGTGTAATACTAAGAATAAAATTATATTCTCAAATTTTCGGGAAAATGAATTGGGTAGTTTTGAATATTGATTTGTAATAATCAATAAAATAACGAAACAATTTACTCACGTATACGTATCAGAGGCAACTGAAAATCGTGTATGTATAAACATTCTTAATTTAAGATGACAGGCGTAACAGCATACGTGAGAGTCAAACAGAGAAACTGTAAACAAAACGACCATCGGTTTTATAGCTTCGACTTCCGCTTATTATATAAAACATTGGGTTTTATTTTAATTCTTGACGGTGAAATTCACAATTGGTTGATTATAAACATGTCTATTTCACATTCGCGGAACCAAGTGAGCGCATAAAACAAATGCAGGTCTGTAATGTTAAAGTCGATGTAAATAAGCGTGCTACCCTTATGTTTCAACCGAGTTTTTCCTTTAACAAATTTTGTGTCTACCAAATTGGGTTGGTTGGGGTGTAATACTAATAATAAGTGTTGCCTTTAATTTAATCAATAAAATAAATTGACTTCATTAATTTTTTTGAACCACCTCTTAAGAAAATCTAAAAAATTGGTCTAAAGAGTTTAGACAGTACTTCCCTCACTGTCGGAAACGTGACGACTGCATGCCTATTATGTTTTTTTTTCGCCGTGGATTTCAAAGAATTCGGTTTTGTAGTTCCTGAGTAAATCAATAAAATAAATTTACGCATTCATTAATTTTTTTGAGTCACCCTGTATATGCAAATCCAAAAAAAAATCAATGGAGTGATAAATCACAAGTACAGACTCATCATATTTTGTACAGTTTAGATAGGATTTATTCGGCAAACTTTCGAGCTGACGTCATCAATTTTTTGGAGGGGATAAGCAAATGTATTTTGACTAAACATTTATTATGGTCTTTATAACCTTAAAACATCTGCAAGATTTCAAAGCATTCGGTTTTGCAGTTCATGATTAAATCAAAAAAATAAATTTACGCATTCATTAATTTTTTTGACTCACCCTGTATATGCAAATCCAAAAAATATGAATGGAGTGATAAATTACAAGTACAGACTCATCATATTTTTACAGTTTAGATAGGATTTATTCGGCAAACTTTCGAGCTGACGTCATCAATTTTTTGGAGGGGATAAGCAAATAGATTTTGACTAAACATTTATTATGCTCTTTATAACCTTAAAACATCTGCAAGATTTCAAAGCATTCGGTTTTGTAGTTTCTGAGTAAATCAGTAAAATAAATTTACGCTTTCATTAATTTTTTTGAATCACCCTGTATATGCAAATCCAAAAAATATAAATGGAGTGATAGATCACAAGTACAGACTGATCATATTTTGTACATTTTAGATATGATTTATTCGGCAAACTTTCGAGCTGACGTCATCAAGTTTTTGGAGGGGATAAGCAAATATATTTTGACTAAACATTTATCATGCTCTTTATGACCTTAAAACATCTGCAAGATTTCAGAGCATTCGGACTAAATCAATAAAATATATTTACGCATTCATTAATTTTTTTGAGTCACCCTGTATATGCAAATCCAAAAAATATGAATGGAGTGATAAATTACAAGTACAGACTCATCATATTTCTACAGTTTAGATAGGATTTATTCGGCAAACTTTCGAGCTGACGTCATCAATTTTTTAGAGGGGATAGGCAAATATATTTTGACTAAACATTTATTATGCTCTTTATAACCTTAAAACATCTGCAAGATTTCAAAGCATTCGGTTTTGTAGTTTCTGAGTAAATCAGTAAAATAAATTTACGCATTCATTAATTTTTTTGACTCACCCTGTATATGCAAATCCAAAAAATATGAATGGAGTGATAGATCACAAGTACAGACTCATCATATTTTGTACATCTTAGATATGATTTATTCCACAAACTTTTGAGCTGACGTCATCAAGTTTTTGGAGGGGATAAGCAAATATTTTTTGACTAAAGATTTATGATGCTCTTTATAGCCTTAAAACATCTGCAACATTTCAAAGCATTCTGGTTAGCAGATTAAAAATTAAATTTCAAAATGTTGTTTTATAATTTTGATTTTTTTTCCAAAAATCTGGACGTTTCGGGTGAAAAGTCGATTCGGAGTTGTAAACTACATGTGTAGGACTATGTTATTTTATACAATTGAAAACCCATTTACTATGTACAATTTTGAAGTGACGTCATCGCATTAGTGGTGGGGATGATTAGACAAATTTTGGTTAGCGTTTTACCATCTACATGATATTCTTAATATAAGTACAAAATTTCACAACAATCGGGCGAGTACTTTCGGAGATTATCTGTCTAATAAAAATCCGGGACGGCAGACGGACAGACGGACGGACAGACGGACGGACAGACGGACGGACAGACGGACGGACAGACGGACGGACAGACGGACGGACAGACAGACGGAAATGGGAGACCTATTTCTTCATCTTCTAGGGGTCATGAAAGATCGAGAAAACGTAAAAGAAGAGAGTCGGCCGACGGACTCGATTACAATACTTCCTTTGCTTACGCTCGGGAAGTAAAAAGAGAGAAAAAAAACACCAGTGTGGTTAATTAATTAATCAGTCCACTCCTCCAAGTCTCATTTTCTTTTAACCACTCATGCTTGCAATCTGAAGTTCTAATAGTCGAACTCTTTCGAAGTATAAACAAATAAACAGTTGAAGTCAAGCATGTACTGAGAAATTGAGAATATCTACATTTTTACTTCCCGAGCGTAAGCAAAGGAAGTATTGTAATCGAGTCCGTCGGCCGACTCTCTGCTTTTACGTTTTCTCGATCTTTCATGAAACCTAGAAGACGAAGAAATAGGTCTCCCATTTCCGTCTGTCTGTCCGTCCGTCTGTCCGTCCGTCTGTCCGTCCGTCTGTCCGTCCGTCTGTCCGTCCGTCTGTCCGTCCGTCTGTCCGTCTGCCGTCCCGGATTTTTATTAGACAGATAATCTCCGAAAGTACTGGACCGATTGTTGTGAAATTTTGTACTTATATTAGGAATATCATGTAGATGGTAAAACGCTAACCAAAATTTGTCTAATCATCCCCACCACTAATGCGATGACGTCACTTCAAAATTGTATATAGTAAATAGGTCTTAAATTGTATAAAATAACATAGTCCTACACATGTAGTTTACGACTCCGAATTCAGTTTTTACCCGAAACGTCCAGATTTTTGGAAAAAAAATCAAAATCATAAAACAACATTTTGCAATTTAATTTTGAATCTGCTAACCCGAATGTTTTGAAATGTTGCAGATGTTTTAAGGCTCTAAAGAGCATCATAAATGTTTAGTCAAAATATATTTGGTTATCCCCTCCAAAAACTTGATGACGTCAGCTCAAAAGTTTGTGGAATAAATCATATCTAAAATGTACAAAATATGATGAGTCTGTACTTGTGATCTATCACTCCATTCATATTTTTTGGATTTGCATATACAGGGTGACTCAAAAAAATTAATGAATGCGTAAATTTATTTTATTGATTTAATCAGGAACTACAAAACCGAATGCTTTGAAATCTTGCAGATGTTGTAAGGTTATAAAGAGCATAATAAATTTTTAGTCAAAATATATTTGGTTATCTTCTACAAAAAACTGATGACGTCAGCTCAAAAGTTTGCCGAATAAATCGTATCTAAAATGTACAAAATATGATGAGTCTGTACTTGTGATTTATCATTCCATTCATATTTTTGGATTTGCATATGCAGGGTGACTCAAAAAAATTAATGAAGGCGTGAATTTATTTTATCGATTTAATCAGGAATTACAAAACCGAATGCTTTGAAATCTTGGGAATATTTTAAAGTTATTATAAGCATGGTAAACTTTTGTTCAAAATGTATTTGTTCATCCCTCCTAAAAAAATTGATGACGTCACCCTTAAATTTTGCTGAATAAATCCTATCTAAAATGCAAAAAATATGATGAGTTTGTACTTGTGATTTATCATTCCATTCATATTTTTTAGATTTTCTTAAGAGGTGGTTCAAAAAAATTAATGAAGTCAATTTATTTTATTGATTAAATTAAAGGCAACACTTATTATTAGTATTACACCCCAACCAACCCAATTTGGTAGACACAAAATTTGTTAAAGGAAAAACTCGGTTGAAACATAAGGGTAGCACGCTTATTTACATCGACTTTAACATTACAGACCTGCATTTGTTTTATGCGGTCACTTGGTTCCGCGAATGCGAAATAGACATGTTTATAATCAACCAATTGTGAATTTCACCGTCAAGAATTAAAATAAAACGCAATGTTTTATATAATAAGCGGAAGTCGAAGCAATAAAACCGATGGTCGTTTTGTTTACAGTTTTTCTGTTTGACTCTCACGTATGCTGTTACGCTTGTCATCTTAAATTAAGAATGTTTATACATAAACGATTTTCAGTTGCCCCTCATATTACTAGACAGCGGATTTCTGTCGGGCTACGTCACGATTATAGGGGGGGACGTGCTGGATTCCATAAATATAATTAACGATTTATTAATCAAACGGCTAAGTAAATGAGAACGGGAATTAACAGCAGAGTGCAACGAAACAACGTTATTCTAATCTCAAATAAACGAAGTGCAGTCCGCAACGGCAATGAATTCGCATCCCGTGCGAGCCGTACCGAGTTTAGGCTTGCCTAGCCCGACAGAAATCCGCTCTCTAGATATTACACACCGGCGCCGTATACGTGAGTAAATTGTTTCGTTATTTTATTGATTATAAGAAATCAATATTCAAAACGACCCAATTCATTTTCCCGAAAATTTGGGAACACAATAATTTTATTCTTAGTATTACACTACATCTATCCCAACTGATATACGTGTCCTTGCAAAAATGTTGATGACGTCATCACAATTTTTTTTTAAATTCCCACTACAAAAATGTAATGAGAAAAAAAAACATAATAGGCATGCAGTCGTCAAGTTTCCGACAGCGAGGGAAGTACTGTCTAAACTCTTTAAACCAATTTTTTCTGGTGGTTATCATGAAATTATTTTTTGAAATGGAAACGTTATTTGTAAAACAAGAGTACATATAGGTGACATGACGTAAGTACATTGATGTCAGTTTTAAAGACTCCAATATAAAACATCGTTATTAAGTTTCTGCTATTAAAAAAAGAGTTAATGAAATCTCAAGTTCTCTAAATAGACGTGGCAGACCTAACTTTTAAAGTCGCCATAGGATTACCATAAAAGTATGAACTTGTGTCAAATAATGTTTATTACCCTTCTATTTATGAATAAACACCTATATAGGGTTCTAACACTAACATCGAACCTTACCTCCTCGTTTGTTGGCAAATACAAAGTTTTTGGTCCAGCCTTACTCATAAACTTGTTAACCAAACGGATATTAGCAAAAGTTCCCCTGGCCATGACAGCATCATTACCACGTCTTGAACCATATGAATTAAATTCTCTAGGAGTCAAATTACGCTGTGCTAAATATCTCGCAGCAGGACTACTGCGTCCAATCGAACCAGCAGGACTTATATGATCTGTAGTAACTGAATCGCCTAAGAAAAGCAACACTCTAGCTCCACTAATAGCAACAGATGAAGGCAGAGCTTTTGTCATTCCATCGAAAAATGGCGGTTTTTTAATGTAAGTGGAAGCATCCGACCATGGGTACAGGATACCCGATGGAGCATTCAACGCCTGCCAGCTTGACGAACCCAACTGAATACGGGAATAAACTTGTTGGAACATAGCTGGAATGACAAACTTCTGCTCAACAGTATGAATTTCTTGACGAGTAGGCCAGATATCTCTCAAAAACACAGGAGTTCCATCGGGTCGTTTTCCGAGTGGATCGATCTCGAAGTCGATATCGACAGTTCCTGCAATCGCGTAGGCTATGACCAGCAAAGGACTCGCTAAGTAGTTGGCTCTTGTGTTGGGATGAATGCGACCTTCGAAGTTTCTATTTCCTGATAAGACTCCACAACATACCAAGTCGTTTTGTTCGATAGCGTTGACTATATTTTCGTCAATACCTCCGCTGTTGCCAATACATGTCATACAACCGTAGCCAACTATATCAAATCCGAGTTGTGTGAGAGCGTCTATCACGTTTGATTCTTGTAAGTAATACGTGACAACACCGGAGCCTGGTGAAAGGCTGGTTTTAATATATGGCGCCACGGTTAGTCCAGCAGCCACGGCATTTTTAGCCAATAAACCGGCGCCTAACATTACGCTTGGATTGCTGGTATTTGTACAAGAAGTTATTGCTGCGATAATCACACTCCCATGTCTTATTGTGTATTGTTGGCTATTGAACATAAATTTGGCTTCGGTTTTCATTCTATCGCCCAAAATTCCGAATCCTTTGAAGCCGATCTAAAAAGAAAAAAACGAATCAGTTTATAAAACTTTTTATTACCATTTATTAGAATAATTATTCTAGTAGTCGTTTCCACACCAATCAGATGGATCAAATTTTAATCTGTATTTATTTACTATAAATATAGTCCATTCTAAGAAGTTAAATATTGACTATAATTTCATCTCATTTGATGTAAATGACCCAATAAATAAATAAATTTAATATTTATGACTGATCACTCCGATATTCCGATATTTATAAATTTTTAAATTGTGGTACAAAAACTCCATTCTAAATTCCTATTTGAATTAACAATAATACATTTTGACTATGCCAAAAACTTAAATTAATCCAGCACATCAAAATAGTACATCCTATGCACAATTATCGTATTTTGAATTAATTTATGAAAATGAACGAACTGTAACTGAATTCGTTATAATAAAGTCGAATCTTCACCAGAAAATTAACAAAATAACATCATGCATTATTTATTTTTCAATATTTTTCAAACGTTATTTCAGATATTGTCATAAAAGAAAAACAAGTCTTATAGACTATTTATTTAGGATATACCTCATAAAATGATATGGATTCCACTTTACAAGTGGCTGGTCGGTCCGCACCATCGAAAAAGCGTAGTGTACTCCCAGTTCAAAGTGGTTTTTATGACTAGATAATAAATATTATAACCTCATTATTACCCCACGACGGGCAATATGAGTTGAATAACAAAGTATTGTACGACGAACGATATTTGCAAGTGAGTCCAATTATGGGAATTGCAGCTGTAAAATTTCCGACCGCTTCGGAAAATGCACCCAGCATAAAACTGTCAAACAAGATTACCCGACCCCCTTATCTTTGCAGAACCCTTTTTGTTTCAATACGTGAACAGGTAGATTGTTAAAAGGATCGCTTTCAAGGAATTTAATCTTAAAATTTAAGGGGATGTTTGCTAAAAGAAAACTGTCGAATTTTTAATTTTGCCGTGTTATTGTCTTCACAAGAAGTTTGCGTGTAGAAAAATAAAGACGAGAAGTAGTGGTACGCTGGTTGAAACTCAGGAAAGCTGGGGTGTAATTTATGACACCCATAATCTCTGGTAACAGTTCGGCACCCGCTTGTCGTGTATTATTGTTCGATTTTCGTTCGTCAACAGTTCAATTTTCATATACGAATTTATAAAAATGACCACAAGAAATGAATAAAAAGTAAAAATCTGAATGTGTACAAAAATGAACTTCGAAGAATTAAGATAACAAATAATAAGTCCAAGCAATTATAATCTAATTGGGAAACTGATTGATTTACAACAAAAAAAGCACTCAGCCGAATAATTATAAATGCAGTTATTTTTCGGACACAAAACAATCACTTTCGCTACACTTAAAAAGATTTGTGGCAAATAAAACAAAATCAATTTTAAGTGTCCAAATGGTTCTACTGAGTGTGTCCCTATACTGAAATGCAACGAGAAAATTACCAATTTCTGCATCAGTATACGTACCTATATGTCATGATGTAATGCAAATTATAAAATAAACTAGGGACCAATAATTTGTTTCGTTTTTATTTATGCATATTTATAAATATACCCAATTGTTTTACTTAAAACTAAGTACTTCAATTATTTGGTTTACATATTTCAATTATAACTGGTTCCCAGCTGGTTAGTATCGGCTAAGTTCAAACCAAAGAGGTATAGAAACTACCTGTGTATACTGAATGGTTATCGGCCTAATTTAAGGTTTATGGTAAACTTTTATTCGACAAAATAAAATTCTTTCAGGTAATACACTTTGATCTTTGACAAAAAGCTGAGAAGTAATAGGATTGGTTATTATATAAAGTAACAATAATAAAATTTCTATTAGTAACATTGACTTACACTTTATGTAAGTGTATAAAAACAGCGGCGGGTCTAAAAAACAATAATATTTATATGTATAGAAATTAGGAAATAAAAGCATAATAATAGTAAAACTAATCAAATGATGATTAAACTGTATTTTTTGTCTGTAGTTTTAGTAGGTTTTTGACATAATAATTCTGATAAAAGTTTTTTCGACTTTTTCGTGGCTTTGAAAGTGGAATCTTCGACTTTCGTCCCATTTCAAAATTTACTCTTTATATATTTCAATGGTCACAAGGAGTTCACTAACTACACTGAAGTAAGTTTATGCAAAGATTAAATTTGTCACCGAAAAGATGTCGGAAGTAATAAATTATCCCATCGGTCCAAGAACGTTCGGTGGGTGTTATACCCCAATCCGAGAGAGACCGCAGTAAGAGACAGCAAATGGAACGGATAAAATAAAGCTTCAAACATGATCAGTTTTAAACCAAAATTATGAAGTTTTATCAATCGAACTTTTTTTTTTCTTTTTGAAATATCATAGTAAACACTTCAAAGAATGTCCATGACTTACTTTAATGTGAATTTTATAACTATGGTCGGCACAGTCGAACCTAATATTAGTGTGATTTTGAGCATATTTGCGATTTTATTAGAGCAAAACAGGTCATTTTTTCTCCAATTTTATAAGTTCCGGACACTAATAGCATATCAAAGATATTGTAAAAAAAAAATTGGGATCAGATTCCAACTAGTTGTTTAGTATTTGTGAAACAAAATCTATTGTAAATTCACTGAAAACTAAACCGATAACATCACCTTAAGGACACCTGAAAGTGTGGTTCTTAAAACGTTTTAAATCTTTGCAAACACATAGTTCTTAGAAAAATCCCAATAAAAATGAACTCTACCATGATTGATATATGAACGCTCCAAAATTCGAAGTCCGGTTCTGGCTGAAGTCGTACCTTCGTTGCGAAGGGTTCGTAACGGTTTTATTGCAGGTTGCGGTCCAAAGTACTAAAGACCCCTCACACAGTAATTGACAGCGTTTGCAATTATCTTTCGTCGTACTTTACGACCCTGCAAGAAAGCCACCACTTTCTTATTTATGGCTAGGGATTTACTCACTCCATTCCCCCCTCAGCAACTTCGACACAATGTACCTATCATAAAAACCAGTTTAAACTGGGAAGACGATACCATATTCTTTAGGGTATAGGATTTTTTCGAGCGACAATTGACCTTAATATGATGCACGATATGTACATATTATAAGATACGTATGTAACTGAATCTTAAAAATTGTTCTAATTAGATGGATATCACTTCATACAAAAACTGCACGAATAATACCACAATATCTGAAAACATAACTGTAAAAAATGATAAAAATAGAAGGGTGTTCTAGTTTTTAGTTTTTTGTGTTGGTTTAGAATAAAACGTTTTTGTCCTGACGCCTTCATCTACACACACCCTATCTATAGGGAAAGCCTATTTTAAAGATCGCTCAGTATACATGAAATTACGTACGCGAGTAAGCAATTCATTTTAAAAGATGAAAGGAACTATGTAATATGGTTTCCATACGTACAAAGTAAAAGTCGGTTTTCTTTAACTGCTGAACATTTGGAATATATGAACAAGTCGTAAAATTTACCTGAATATAATTTAAAAGACCGTTATCTAGAGATTAAGACTAGTAATAAGCAAGCCAAAGCCCGTAATGACCGGCAATGGTAAAAGTAAACATTGAAAGCCGCAAAATTTCTTAGGAATATGGTAATGATAATTTACAGCCCCTACCTCCTGTCCGGTGATCTACCTGAAAGAACCGGTGGCAAGACAGCAACAATTTACCAGCAACAATTTTAGATCGAACCGTAATTTCATGCAGGCGGCACACACATAGAAATACATATAGGGTAACCCTGTAATTCGCTTATCAGTGTTTGTGCCACGATGTAATTCAGTGTGGGAGATCTTTAGAATTTATAATGAATTGTGGTTTGAAAAAAAATTAAAATTTTTGGGGATGAGGGTGTCCACGGACATACCATATAGGGGACCCTTGTAATAGGCTTATCGGTGTTTGCGCCAGACAACACGGAGCACCTAAACTCCCGTCGCGGTCAAGTGCAACCTTTCTAGCCATAAAATTGGTCCTAATCCGTCACCGGAATTCCCGTCCGGCTAGCTGTATTATACAGGGTGACTGCGAAATACATGCAATAATTTTAACCACGGCATCCCCCACCCTAGTAGTGTCGAAATATCGAAAAAACAAATTAAAAATCGAATGGGGCAAAACCCCCATGAACCACCCTCTATACGAAGTAACTTTTTTTCTTACAGGTACCTATGTAGGTAAAACAAAAGTTAATGCTTGTGTGATAATAATAATTTTCAAAATATTGACGTTCTGCAATCTTATTAATATTTGTAAATTTATTAATTTTAGCATTTATATTTAGAATTCACTAAATGTATAATATACATATGTATAATAAAGATATAATTACACATAAGTATTTAAAAAAATTAATTAATAACAATATTAAATTAACGTTACAATTTTGGTAAAACTTTCGAATTTGTCACTAAGGTAAAAGGTTCTTTCTGTGTGTTCATTATGTACAAATCTATGTACAGTCGAGGCCTTTAATAATCACCGCCTCCCGGTCCTTCTTCATAAGAAGCTTTTTACTTAAGAATATTTTACTGGACCAAAGCAATTCGGAACATCAAAAAAGTCGTTTAAAAAATTACAGAGATGAAAAGCTCAAAATGTTCATTTTTAGCGACCCCAAAAATTTTCAACAAAAAAATACACCACCAAAAATTGATTTGTATACACTAGAGAAATTAACAGAATTTACAGATGAAGGAGATTTTCCGGCTGGAGTACTTCACATCCAAAATTTCGAGCCTTTTCACGAAAAATATGTGGCGGAGTGGCGCAACTAGGGATGGGCAGATTCGGTCATCACTACGAACGGATCGTTCATCGTTCGATCCCTACGAAGACCCGGTCATCAAATGTCGTTCATTTCGTTCGACTACTGGTTTTTAGTGACCAAAATTCGTCAACATACCACAGACACAATTAAAGAAAAAATGGAAATGGTCAGTGATGGATATATTAAAGCTTATCGA